GCAAGGGAGGAAAGTTTAGATTAAAATCTAGACCTCTTGCGGAAAGGCCACGTTTCAAATGTGGTGAACTTGGTCATTTTAAAGCTAATTGCCCAAATAAGAGGGTATTATTCAAGAAGAACAACAACGACAACTCTAGAGGAAAACAACATGAAAAGCAAGAAGCTAGATTTATCTCAAATGACGAGGATGATTATTGTTACTTAGTTTCAGAACAATGCAATGAGATATCCGGTAAATGGATGCTTGATTCAGGTGCATCACACCATATGTGCCCAAACAGAAAGTGGTTTACAACTTACCAGGTTGGATGGTGGTACTGTTTTGATGGGAAACGATCATGCTTGTAAGACTGTCGGGTTAGGTACTATCTGAGTCAAGATGCATGATGGAACAATAATAACCTTGAAGGATGTGAGACACATCCAGATTTGTGAAAGAACCTTATTTCTTTTGGGTTATTAGAGAAAAATGGTTGCAAAATAGTCTTGGAAAATGGAATTTTAAAAGTTGTTAGTGGTTCCTTTGTAGTGATGAAGGGAATTCGTAATGGTAATCTTTATCCTCTTTTGGGGACAACTATTACATGTGATTTAGCAGTGGGAATTGGTGGAAGTAAAGACCAAACAGAATGCACGAGGATATGGCACATGCGCCTTGGGCATATGTCGGAAAAGGGTCTATCATTGCTTAGTGGACAATGTTTGTTGAAGAACATGAAGAAGTCACAAACGGAATTTTGTGAGCATTGTGTGTATGGAAAAGCACACAGGGTGAAGTTCTCTACAAGCAAGCACAAAGGATTGTTAAACTATGTGCATACGGATGTTTGGGTCCGGCTAAATTTGCTTCCACAGGTGGTTCCGGGTATTTCGTTACATTTGTTGATGATCATTCTAGATATGCTTGGATTTATTTTCTTAAGCATAAGAATAAGGTATTCGACATTTTCAAGCGGTAGAGAGCAATGGTTGAGAACAGAACAGGTTGAAAGCTAAAAAATGTACAGTCTGATAATGGTACCGAATACACAGAAGGAGTTTTGTGATCAGGAAGGCATTGTGAGACACTGGACGGTCAGAGACACACCACAACAGAACGAAGTCGCTAAAAGATTGAATTGTACACTACTTGAGAAGGAAAGGTGTAGCGCTCTAATTCTGGATTAGGCAAAGAATGGTGGGCGAAGTCGGTTGCTACAGCTTGTTATCTAGTAAATCGATCCCCACATTCTTATTTAGATGGTGACACGCCTCATAGGTGTGGTCAGGGGAACATGCGGATTACACGAGAATTAGAGTCTTTGGGTGCACGTCTTATTATCATGTTAAGGATAATAAGCTTGATGAAAGAGCCAAGAAAGCAATCTTTTTAGGGTATCCAAAAGGGGTTCAAGGCTATCGTCTTTGGAGTGTAGAAGATTCTAAATTTGTAATTATTAGGGATGTGACCTTTGATGAAAGATCTATGGTAGCTTTATCGAAAGCTATGGTGCCTAATGATGGTGATGTTGGAATGACTACAAATACTCAAGTGGTGGAATTAGATTCTATAAACCAACAAGATTCGAGTCATGTTCAAGTCATGTTCAGGTGGAGCATCCTTGTGTTTCTCAAGATCGGGAAGAGGATGATCTGGATCATAAGGAGATTCAGCAGAAAAATGCACATGTACTACAACAGCAACATCAGGATTCTTTGGCATCCACTAGGCCAAAGAGGAATTATAAATTAGTTTAGAAGGGCGGACAAACCTCTAAGGCATTACAGGCAGGCAAACTTGGTAGAATATGCACTCTTGGTGGAGGATGATGAGCCAGTCACCTTCAAACAAGCTATTAAAGACGAGGATAGCGAGAGTTGGTTGGTTGCTATGGAAGAAGAGATGAAATCTCTTCATAAAAACAAGACATGGGAAGTAGTCCCATTGTGGGAAAGACTGCTATAGGTTGTAAGTGGGTATATAAAATAAAAGAGGATCCTTCCAAGTTAGATAGAATAAGGTATAAGGCTAAGGTAGTGAGTAAGGGGTTTGCACAGAAAGAAAGTGTTGATTACAATGAGATATTTTCTCTAGTGGTAAAGCATACTTCTATTCGGGTGCTATTGAGTCTTGTAGCTCATGGAGATCTTGAGCTGGAACAACTCAATGTGAAGACGACCTTCTTACACGGTGACTTGGATGAGGAAATTTATATGTATCAATTTGAGGGATTTAAGGTTGAGGGTAAAGAGAATCAGGTATGTCGCTTGAGGAAATCACTTTATGGATTAAAGCAATCTCCCCGATAGTGGTACAAGCGATTTGATTCTTTTATGTTAAAACAAGGTTTTTCCAGAAGTAATTACGATTGTTCTGTACACATTCGCAAACTTCGTGGAGGTGATTATATTTATCTCCTACTAGATTAACCCTGTGCACGGTTTTAAAATAAGAATTGAATTATAGAATTTTAACAACACGTACTGAAAGAAAATAACTTCCTCATTTTTCCTAACTAATTTCTAATTAAATATGAATATGCAATTCCCGAAAGTGCATGATTTTCATTTTAAATTAAGAAATTTCAATTAAATTTATTATTAACAATTGTTATTAACAACTCGTAAATAACTAAATAGCATAATATGTGTAGAAAATCCAAAATTTAAAATTTAAAAATTCAAATGGAATATATTTCAAAGCTATGTTAAACAGGGTAGCTTAAAAAGGGAAAAAAATATGACATCATCCTTGCATTTTGGAGGGAAAAAATTAAATAAAAAAGTGACACATAAGCAATGATGACATTAGCGTTTGTTATTTTAGTATATATATAGATTGTATGTGAACGACATGCTTATTGCTTCTAAGAGCAAGGTGGAGACAGATGGGTTAAAAACTCAACTCGATGAAAAGTTTGAAACTAAAGACTTGGGCGCTGCAAAGAAAACACTGGGTATGGAGATTAGAAGAGAGAGGTTAAACCGAAAATTGTTCTTGAGCCAAAAAAGCTACATTGAGCGGGTTATAGAAAGGTTTGGGATGAAAGGTGCTAAGTGTTGATTCCATTGGCTCCACATTTTAGGCTCTCTGGTAAACAATCTCCCACTACAGCGAAAGATAAGATTTACATGGATAATGTACCTTATGCTAGTGCAGTATAATGTACGCCACGATGTGTACACGTCTAGACATTTCACAAGTAGTCAGTGTTGTTAGTAGGTTCATGGAAAACCCAGGTAAAGCACGTTGGGAAGCAGTGAAATGGATTTTACGGTACTTGAAAGGTACCACTGACACAGGTTTATGCTTTGATGGAGATACATGTCAAATAAATGGCTTTGTTGATTCGGATTATGCCGGTGATCAAGATAAAAGACAATCTACTACTGGTTATGTGTTTAAATACATGGTGCTCCAGTTAGTTGGTGATCAATTTTACAAGCTACAGTGACTCTATCTACGACAAAAGTCGAGCATATGGCTATGGCAGAAGGAGTTAAGGAAGCATTGTGGTTGTGGGGACTTCTAGATGATTTGGGGTTAAAGGAGGATAATGTGAATCTAAATTGTGCCGGCCAAAGTGCTATTCACTTACCAAGAATCAGGTTCATCATGCTCGTACCAGACATATCATTTTGTACGGGATGTCATAGAGGAAGGTAGTATTTCTCTTATGAAGGTGCATAAAAATGAGAACCCTGCAAACATGTTAACCAAACTTGTGTCAGGAAGAAAGTTCCAACACTGTTTGGAATTGCTAAATGTTGTCCCATGTTAGGCATTACATGGAGAAATAAATGGAACTACAATTGGTTTGATCTCGATTAAGTGTACGTAGGCAGTCATTGTAAAAATGGTGCAACCGAATACGACTTACGCGATTTGTTCGTTCAATATTTTTGAATGATTTCAAATTACGAACGAGGTGGAGAATTATGGGAATATGTGTGGATATAATTAATTGCTAAATTAATTATGTCTAATTTAAGAAGGGTTAAATAAAGTGAAAGGAGAAGAGAAGACATAGGAGAAGGGAATGAGCAAAAATATTATAGGTTGTTTCCAACATGTTCCGTTAATTGTCTTTTCTTTATTTAGCTTATAAGTTACTATAAAATGTGTTGAGGTAGATGTAGAATTTAATTCATTCATTGTAATTCACATCAAAAGTTTAGAAAAGTTTATTTTCTTACAATTAGTATTTTCTTCATAGTGGTTATTTGTCTATCTCAAAATATTATTTAACTTTGTGAGGTATCGGTTTCATATTATCTAGCCACATTTCCGCTGCGAGAGCTCTAACACAAACTATCTCATAGCCACGTTCTCATTGCTACGATATTTTTATTAAACAAAAAACTCACCTTTACACTCGATTTCCTCATTTCCTTGGAATTTGTATCTAGATTAAGTGGTAAGAAAAAAAAAAGAAACAAAACGAGTACATTTAATTACTATTTATGTTGGGACTAATGTTTCCCCAAGTCCATATCTAATTTCAGGCACTTCTTAAAATTCCATGGCCAACTCTTGAATCCATACCAAAATGCCTGAATGGCTTAATTTGAGCTTCTAAGCTAGAAAGATAATAGACAGCTTCAAACCAAATAGAGAATATGGTACTTAAATTTAATCAATCGTCAGCTACAAGTCCCATACCAATCAAAATTAAGATGAAAAGATTAAACACACATTTAAAATGAGTGCTCCCCCCCCCCTCCCCCCACCTCCCACCCCCCGAGACTGCTAAATCTGAGCCCTGCACCAACACTCAATTGGCGGGGACTCATGAGTAAATTATAGTGATTGCCATTATGATAACTTAGCCGAATGGGAGGAACATCAGTGTCATAATTTCCATGAAATATGTTAATAGGCACTGGATTAAAATAGGTAGAGACATTGACATGATGAAAACCATGAGGCAATCCAAGGTCACAGAATCAAACACGAGATCAATAATGGAACTCACCTGTGCTATAGGAATATATGTATGGGTCGATTATACATCTCAGCTAAGGCTTGAAATCCGCATTGTTTCCATAAACCTGCCACCAAGAAGATAATAGAGAAAAGAAAACATCATCTATGGCAGACGAATAGGATACTCCATGCTAAAAAAAGGGGGGTCAGATTCCATAAGACTAGTTCTGCACACATGAGAACTCTTTTCTTCCTATAATCATTATACATGTCAAGACTGTCTTCCATTAGGTAACTACCAGGAGCCATTCATATCAAACACAATTCAGGCACACTGCAAAAGAGAAAAGGGGGCTTGGGTTTTTTTTTTTTTAATATCCCATATGGATTTGGATTTTAGAATACATTAAGCGACTACCAGGAGCCATATGGTAGAAAAAAAAAAAAAAAAAAAAACTACTTATGGGTTTGGAATATCAAACCCATAACCCATATATATATGAAGCCCACCCTCAAAACCCCCAAGGTACGTGGGAGGTGGATTTCTTTCATCCTCACTCCTGAAATCAAAATACAATCAACAATTTTTTTTTTTAAAAAAAAAAAAAAAAAAGCCTCTTTAAGCAGTGGCAGAGTGGCATCATATTGTCACTGCAAACTGACCCCACCACTGCTTCCCTTCCCCATCTCTATATCTTTTCCTTCCTCCAACACTGCTGCCCTTCCCCACCATGCAACAAAATCAACCAGCAAGAAACAAAAAGGGAAAAAATAAGCCATGCCACCACCTCAGCAATCACCAACAAAAAAGAAGGATCTTAATTCATTCAGATCTCTTCAACAGTCTTCAGATCTAATGGCCAAATCAGCCCAAATGTTTCAATTGTACAACTTTAGTTAGCTAAATAACAGATTAACAGCAATAGGCCAGGAGAAGATGTATCAGATATGACAGTGTGACGAGACAGAAGAGGTGGTGGTCCATTAGCAGACTTTATTATAATAGTTTCTATAATAAAATTGGCATGTTTGGAAAGTGAACGGGAGGGGGGGGGGGGGAGGTAAGGGAAGACGAGAGCCAAAAACGAATGGTGGGAGGAGCACATGTATAGGAGAGATAGCAGTGGAAATGTAGAGTTATGATGCACACCTTGTCTTTGCGCTTCTTCTTACAATAGGATGTAAAGCCTTCTATAATAAACTGTGAAAAATGATCTTCTTTGAGCTCCTGCATACAGAAAAAGGGATGTGGTGAATGAGAAGAAAACAAAATATCCATAACCACAGAAATGCAACAGTGAGAGCTGCATGGGCAACACAGCAGCAGAAGCAGAGATAAAGGTGAATGGTACAAGCTGCCACCCCCTCCCCCCCCCCCCCCACACACACACACACAATAACATCCAAAAAAATGACAAGCAATAGAAAAATAGTTGTATATATCCAAAAAATTACAAGAAATAAATAATAAATATATATAATCGACTTGCCCCCCTCGAAATAAATTTCCAGTTCAGCCTTCCATTTCACCATCCACATTGTTGACTTATGAAAAATGGAAAAACAATAGTACATAAAATAGAGTTGACTGAAGCAACTGCTTCAATATTCACAAGACTTCATGAAATGAACACCCGACCAATCCTAATGCAAAGGAAAATTTTTCACCAAATAACATAAAAATGCGTAAAGCCCCCTACAATATAATCTTCACACATCTGCCTGGTCAAATCATAATGCCTCCGAAACCCCACAAACCTGATCTGCAACAGCTCTAAATAAACAATTACCATCCTCCAGCATTCTCTTAACATCCAAACCTTTAGCACGTCTAATATCAATCTCAAATTGTCGCTCTCTCTCTCCTGTAGTAGAGATGAGATAAAAATATGAGACCCAAATATAGTTCCCAAGTCTTCAATAGCAACTAGAAATGTGACAAATAGAGCATCATAAGCAATCCAAGGATCATAAATAAGCTTATATAAGAAACTTTAATATAATCCCAAAATGAACCAACACAAGAGCTCTCTATCAAGCCATTCTAGAACACTGTCATTGGCACTGATAAGATCGTACAGGTAATATCAGCACACCATGAACACTACCAAAACATACAAGAAACTGTCTAACAATAATTGTGTTGTTCTACTAGGAAACCACCAAAAGTACAAACATCAGATTCAAGCAGTATATGAGCTCTTAAGAAAATTATGGGATAACAATATCCTCACTTGTCACTACAGCAAATATCAGGCAGGTATCAAATGATTAATTTGAGGTTCTTGTTTTCAAAAAAATACAATTTCAATTATAAACTTATATTAAACACGAATTCTAGAATGACACATGCCATTCTTTTGTAAAAAGTTTATAAATTAAATCATTCTAGTAATCATTCTAGAATGGCCATTGGATCCTGATCAAACGTTCCAAAATCCTTCTAATGATTCTCATTTCTCACATAGCTTTTCCCTCTCCATGATCCTATGTGTGTGTGTGTGTGTGTGTGTGTATGTCACAAGGCAAGGTTTGTTTTGTTTTGTTTTTTTATTTATTTTTATTATTTATTTATTTTTCGGGCAAAGCACAGGCGAAGAACTTTGAAGTTGCCTTTTCATTTAAAATTCTAATACATACAATTATTTAACAACTGCAAGACTTAGTAATATGTGATTGATATCTAATAGATGTCTCAACTCCATATAACTGAATTTTTTTTTTTTTTCAGCAAATAAATGTCTCACCAAAGGATTTTACTTTTTTTATATGTGCAAACCTCCGACATTAAAATATTTAAACTTTGATATTTGTATCAGCACCCCAACTTCTAGAAAGGATTGAGAGGGGAAAACTCTTCATTTGCAGATTACATAAGATCAAAGATAACCTCACACTCTCAGAATTTCAACAGGAAGCTCTGAAGAACGTGTCTCTATAAACTAAACTGTTTGGCTTACACATTTGCAAAAATTAATAACAATGGAGCCAAAAACATAAGACCTCCGTGAAAATTAAGTACCTTATAATCAATATTGAGCAGTCTTTGACTCTTCTTCCTTACAATTTTTTTTGCTGCTGCCATATCCACACCAAAACGTGCCACTCTCCTCTGGATCCCCAACAACTGTGAATCTACCCCCAAATTGGCGAGTAGCAGTAGAGTGACATACAAAGAGCAGATTTTGCACACTCTTTGCAGCCTGATTACAGGGAAAACTCCAATTATTTAACCTATCTGCTGGGCTTCACCTGTATGAAGAGCTTAATAGGCAATAGAACACTTTAAAGTCTAGAGTTTGATTTGCTGTTGCAGATAATGTTCTCCACCCTGATACTCTGGGGAAATCCCCTAGAAGCAAGTCGTACTGCTTGTTGATTTAGAAACTTCCTTTGCTCAGAACTGGATCCCAGCCCTTACTGCTGCATAAGACCTCTACCGCTTGTACTTTCTTTACTATCCAGGCCAGTAAGCTTATAGAAAAACTCGTCTTCTGATACAGTAGCTATCAACCCATCTAAGCCAAAGCTTATCTTTTCAAAAGCTTAAGCCCACAGAAGTTTGGTGATAGCAGCTTCGTCCCCCAAACTCAGGTTTACCTGAAGATCTATGCTTAAACAAAGTATCCCAAGATAAATCATACAAAGGAGAATTTCTAATAATATCTAACAGTCATATCACCCAAATGGCCTTCAACATGACTACTGCCACCTAAAACCTGCTTTACTTTACAGGCAACAGCTCAAATCTCCGGCTGCATCAATCTTTTAGGATAACAAGTCAACAGTAAGTAGATATATTTTTCCGATGTTACTTAATTAGCCAGCTAGATGCTCGTCCTTTTCTAATATTGTTTATTTCCATTGTATTTCTGACCTTTTTTGCATCTTCCCACTGTTCCACATCAGCATACATGTTGTGAAGCAACACATAGGATGCTGAACTTTCTGGTTCAAGCTTTGATAGAGCCTCTGAAGCAACTTGAGCCAGCTCTACATTGTTATGTATCCTACAAGCTCCTAGCAGAACACCCCATATGGTTTCATCAGGCTTGTGGGGCATGCTATAAATTAAATCCATGGCCTCTTGTAGGTTGCCATGACGAGCCACGATGTCGACTAGTGCAGCATAATGTTCGATCTTGGGTTCAATTCCATAATCCAAAAGCATAGACACAAAATACTTGTGGCCCTCTTTCAATAAGCCAGCATGGGCACAAGCATTCAAGACTGATACAAATGTAATAACGGCGGGAATCACTTTTAACCTCTTCATTTCCTCAAAAAGTTCTAGAGCTGCTACTGCGTATCCATGAGATGCATATCCACCTATAATTGCATTCCAAGAGATTACATCCTTCTGCATCCCCATCTCATTAAACTTGATTCTGGCCTCTGTTATTGCCGCACACCTAGAGTACATAGTAATAAGTGAATTATTGATTGGCATATCTGCAATAAGTATTTTGGTAATCAGCTGATGGATCTGCCTGCCTAAATCAAGGGCAGCAAGGCCAGTACAGACACTAAGAACTGATGATAGAGTGTGCCTATCAGGCCTCACCTCTTCAGCCTGCATCTGTACGAACAACTTGATTGCTCCTTCATAGTCTCCATTCTTATCACATCCTGCAATTACAGAATTCCAAGAGACAAGGTTTCTCTGTGGAGTCCTGCTGAAGAAATTAAGAGCAGATTCTAAGTTCCCATTTTGGGCATAGCCTGACACCATCATATTCCATGACATAATATCAGGGTTTGGCATTTGTGAAAAGAGTTGTGCTGCTTGCTTCATATCTGAAGCTTGAACATAACCACTAATCATTGTATTCCACGAAAATGTATCCCGTTCTTCCATTTGATCAAAAAGTTTTCTAGCAGAAATGACATCACCAGCTTTTATATAAGCCATGATCATAGCATTCCATGACACCACATTCCTCTCAAATCCCATTTTTTCTCTCATTCCTCCATGTGGGCAATATGACAATTGATCAAAAAGACTTCGTGCTTCATCAACTCTTCCCTTTTGCCCATATCTTGCAATCAAAGTATTATAAGCCGGGACAAGATCTCCCCTCTCTTTGCCGACTTCTTTTCCACATTCAAGCAAAATTTCCTTTGCCTTGTCCCACTCATCAATACGAATCAATCCTGATATAAGTGCACTAAATGAAGAGGCATCCCTATTCGGCATTGCCCTAAACCACTCAATAGCTCTACCAGCATCACCATTATGTAAAAAGCCTGTCACCATAGCATTCCAAGTGATAACATCCTTCTCAGTCATTCTTTTAAAAAGGCATATAGCATCATCAATTCTTCCAACCCGAGCATACCCACTAATCATTGTATTCCAAGAAACCAAATCTCTCTTAGGCATCTGATCAAACAATTTCTTACCCTCCTCAACATATCTCATCCCACCCCCACGAAAAGAAACATAACCCGAAATCATCAAGTTCCATGACACAACATCTCTTGCTCTTTCAGGCATTTCATCAAACAACTTACGCGCTTTTAAAACCTCTCTATTCTTAACATATCCACTTATCATTGAATTCCATGTTATGGTATTTCTTTCAGACATTCTATCAAACAGTGATCGCGCTTCACTGAACTGACCTAATCGGATAAGCTGAGATATGTGCTTTTTCCAACTATGCAGGTCAGGATTCGACATGAAATAAGACATGGGTCTTCCCCAAAAAATTGTCATTCGAAATGGGCAATACAGAACTCTTTCGAATCGCACTCGCATTTTTTCTAATATCTAGTAACCCTCACAAGTCTGAAGCCATTGCTGACCTATTGTTACAGAAAATTAAGTAAGTGGCAGGAATTAAATCAAACCAAAACTGTTTGAAAACAATAGAATGATAGTTGATCAAAGTTTCAAGTCTACAAACTCCAAAATTCTGAAAAAAGCAAACAGTTTTTATTCACAACTATAACAGAAAATTTCTCCTAATTTCAATCAATAATTAACAGAGCCCAGTACAAAAATACTGCCACATTCAATTCAGATACAGGAAAAGTCATACATTGAGAAATAGAGTAAATCAATTGAATAGAATAACTTATTTGATTCAAGTAAACGTATAACTCCACAAAACAAATAATAGGAAAAGCTAGAACAAAGTTCAAATAATAATACGAAGTGTACCTGAAGATAAAGCAATGAAGGAGAAGTGAGGAGTAAAATTTGGGGCAAAGATGTACGAGAAAGAAACCATAGTCGTCGCATAGCAAAAGAGCAACCTAGCATTAACTTATTGGTTTTTGGGTACGACTTGGCATGAAAAATTGTAAAGTTCATGCTCTTTAAGGAGTAGCCAGCAGACTTGATCTAGCGTTGCACGACCATACCAATATACCATTTTTGTGTTCGGTTCCAGCCTTGCCTATTTGTGATATTGTTTATCCTTTTAAATGCATGATGGGCTTGGTTCAACTTCGAGTATGAATTGTGTCAACTCGAGTAACTTCAAGTTAGAAATATGTTTGAAACTAATAACTAACGAGTTGTGCCTAGTTAATATGTTATATTAACAAACTTTGTTAATATAGTTCTCTCTTTTCTTCCCCCTCCCCCCAAAAGCATTTTTGCCTCTCTCCTTTGCATAACCACCGTTTGCACGGTCACCTTCGGGGTATAATCTGACCTGCCGGCCGGCTGGGAGGTTGGCCAAACAAAAGATACCCAAGTTGCAAAACATATAAATTGGGCCCATACTAAACCTTTAGGGGAAGGAATTTGCCTGTCCGACAGTGTAAATGGTCGTGGTGGTGGCGCTAATGGTCATGGTGTTAATGGTCTCGTGATGTGCTAATGGCCTTGGTGGTGGTGCTAATGGCCTTGCGGTTGTTGTGGTGGTGGTGCTAATAGTCGTGCGGTGGTCGCGCGATGGTGTTAATGGACGTACAGTAGTCATGCGGGGATGCTAGTGGTCGTGCAGTGGTGCAGTGGGTGGTGTGTATGGTTGTGAGGTGGTGAGAAGGCGGGCTAATGGTGTAGATAGAGGAGAGAGAAAGGGGGTGAAGTTAAGAAAATACAAAAATATCCCCATCAACTTTGTTTGCTAATATGACATATTAACAAGTATTTCCTCATAACTATCAAGTCTAACTCAACTTTAAGTAGGGTCAAAGTTTGAATCAGAAAGATCTTTTCAATAAATACTACTCCCTCCCCTTAAATTAAAAGTCTCTTTCTTTTTATAATGTGAATAATAAATGCTAAAAAGAGGCTTTGTATTAAGGGACGGAGGGACTACAAAACTATTCAATTTATACTGAGTTCTTACAATTTTCAAATTGGTTTATTCATTGTAGGGAATATTTCAAGCTTTACTCCAAACTTGAACCCCATTGTGATCATACACTAAAATACGGTGGCGTCCAAAGGGAAGGAAGCTAGAGCAAAAGAGTCGCCAACAAGTTTTAGGAACTTGTAAACCGTTCACGAGGTGAAGGTTACACCCCTTATCGATCTAGGAGATCGTCAACTCCAATAGGTCTGGAACCATGACTGGTAGTTCGGGGATGAAGGTACAAATCCAACCTAAAAGAGATTGAACCTGCCCTAATAATAGGCCTCTACTTTATACTGATCGTACTCATGTGCGCTTTCTGACTAACATGCAATCAATAGGTTTAACCCTAAACCTGTTTATCTATGTTGGTTGAATATTAATGCACAAATAAACTATTATTGGCGATCACTTGAATTATAATCAAATTAACTCTAAACAAGATTATTAATTATCTTATTAAGCGTGATTATATGTACAAATTCCCTTTATACATGCATAAAAAGGTGTGATCAAACAATAACAATAGAATATATAATCAAGCAACATAATATTCATCATAACAATAATTATAATAATCATGTTAAAGCATAATAATTGCAAGATCCTAGGCATGATACTAACAAGATTAATAACAAACCCTAGCATGTCACTAAGTAATAAAAATTAAAGCTTATGATACTAACAAAAATATTAGGAAAGAAAATAGGAAGCAACGCAGGAATCATAATTGACATATTTTATATTAGAAATTATAGTTGTTACCCTAAACATGATACTAGGAAGATCAAAACGCCCTAACATGACACTAGGAATCATAATAATAACCTAAACATGATTTCTATATCATAATATCAATAAAATCAATTAAAGCACTTACTTGGATGCCTCGTACCTCTTTCTAATAACAAAATACACACGTTAGTAACTTCAAGGAAAATAAAAAAACAATTAAATTAAATAATTGAAAGAGAGATTTGGGACCAAACCCTCAGAAATATCAAACCTTTCACGTCTAGGGCGAAGACAACTTCGAACTATGCTAGGTGTGTCTAGTGCTAATGTATGAGCAATTGTGTTTGTAAAAGGGTTGTTTTAGAAAAAGGGAGAAAATAATCAAGAGATTCTTGATGAGAGTTGATGAGAAGAATTGATGGAAATTGATGATTGAAAACAGAATTTTAAGAGGCTATTTATAGAGAAAATCAACCAAACGAATAAAAAAAACGAATAAGAGTTTCGGAAAGAATAAAACACGACCGCAGCGTCAAACACGCGCGTGGCGCTAAATGCCGGACATTAGCGCCAGACGCTAGGAATTAGCGCCAGACGCTGAAGGTTAGCGCCAGGCGCTAATGCTTGTCGTCAGGCGCTAATAATCAGTTTTACGCGTTTTTGTTGTTATCATATCTTTTGATTTGGAAGTCCAAATAAGGCATATAATATGTAGTTGAAAAGCTCTTGAAGTATAATTTCCAACCCAATTAGAATCAGATTAAAATATTTTGTAGATAAAGATATTTTTGAAATAGTGGAAGGGTATCAGTTTTGGATAGAGTTTCATATCTCATTCATATCTTTTTCGTTATAGCTCGGATTTAATATTATAATATATCATTGGAAAGATAATTTCTAGATCTATCCAATCATATAAAATTTGGATAAAGATTACGAGGCATGAAAATAAAATCAGAATATATTCCACTTCGTACAAAACAAGGATTTTAAAAAGGAGTAGTTTTATTTAATGTCAAACTCTTTGAAACATAATTATCAATCCTAACTCCATTAGGATTTAAAAGAACCTTCTAGAATATTCTAGAAGACTATAATCAACCCTAATAGTTTTATGAATGATAATTAATAATAGGCCCTCCTCTAGATCATTGGGCCGCACTGCCCGCATATAAAGATCAAATCGAGACCAGTTTAGTATTTTGGCCATAACTTCCTCATTATTCATTGGAATTGGGCTTATAATATATCGTTGGAAAGGTCTTTTCAAGCCCTATCCAACTAAACTATTAGTGGACCCTTATCATGGACCAAACTAAAATGAAATGCACATTTTTCAAAAATAGGGTAAGAAAAGAAATATTTTCAAAAACAGAAAGAATATATATTTTAATAAAAACATCCTCATCACTAGACTTTTCACAATTTTGCTTTGTTCGATAATCAAATGACGTGAAAGGTATTCATCACTGGGTTTGGTTTTGGGGAGGCACATTTGGGTGTCTACATTCATGCCTTATGAATTCAATTTTTTGTAGCTCATTCAAGTTTTTTTTTAAACTTCAACGACTATAGCTTTGAAATTAGATGGTTGATTAATGAAAATGATTGGTTCTACTTCAACTTGTTCTAGTTTGGGTATTAAATAGTAAGATGGTATTGACTTCTAGTTTTATGTAAGTTTTGTGATCTAATGGCAGGTCTATGTAGCAATGAGTTAGATAAAATTGGTTACAAGTCACCATAAGGTTGGGTAATTGTCAAATTGGGTTAAATCGATTGTAAATTAATATTAGGTCGAGTACTCGAGTGCATGCATATATTATAGAGTATTGGGTCAAATTAATTTTTAGTTATCAAGTAAATTGATTTTCAGTTATAGGTTACTAGGAGTAATATGCAATTGAAGGTACTAATGTTTGGCATAAGTTGCAAAGAGGGTACTAATGTTTCAAAAGTTGCAAATAGGGTACTGAACCCATTATTGTAGGTAAACATCCCGGCGGGACTTGCCTGTAACCGGTTACTACCTTTTTCCAACAAAAAAAAAACTTATTAAAATGCTCATCTGTACTTTGGAAAACGAAATTCATCATTACAATGACGTTGGCGCGAGAATTGGAAAGGTGGATGCCTTTTAATCACCCTTTTCACCCCATTGGCTTCCCTCATTGTAGACACCCATTTGTGTCTCCCCAAAACCAAACCCGGTGATGAGTACCTTTCGCGTCGAATCATAATCGAATGAAGCGAAAGTGTGGAAAGTTTAGTGTTGAGGATAGTTTTAATTTCTTTTCTCTTCTCTCTGTTTTTGAAAACTTATTTTAAGAAAATAGCTAATCCAGTTTGGTTGGTCCATGATATGGGTCCAATAATAATGTAGTTGGATGGGGCTTGACAAGAGCTTTCCAACGATATATTATAAGCCCAATTCCGATGAATATTGAGGAAGTTATGACCAATTTACCAAACTGGGCCCGGTTTGAACTTTATATGCGGCCCAATGATCTCGGGGAGGGCCTAATATGATTTATCTTTCCTAATTCAATTAGCATTGATAAATTGACTTTTGTTGACTTTTCAGAGTTTTAATTAAAATCAAATAGCATTTTCGAGGAAATTATATGATTTTATCCTCTAGTACGGCAAACTTATATGATTTTCGAAAACGCTTTAAAAACAGGCTTGGCGCCTGACTCCAGGCATTGGCGCCTGGAACCAGGCCTGGCGCTAGTGTTGGTGCCTGGCGCCAGTTAGCCAGGGTTTGCGCCAGCTCTGTTTTTTGTGCGTCAGACTCTGTTTTGTTAATTTATCTTTTTGGCTGATTTTTTCTATAAATAACGTATTAAAAACTCCGTTTTCATTCACGAATTCTCATAATTCACCAATTATCATCAACAATCAGTTTTAATTAGCATTCGCCTACAATCAGTTTTCATTGAATTAATTCTCTTAATTCCCTTAATCTTTCATCAATTCTTTATTTCTTTTTCTAAACTTTGCTTTTACATACAAAATTCCGCATTCGCAAGATCTAGATACACCTATCCATATTTGAAGTTGCCTTTGCCCTAGACGTGAAAGGTTTAATTTCTGAGGGTTTGGTCCCAAATCTCTCTTTCAATTATTTGATTTAATTGTTTTGATTATTATTTTCCTTGAAGTTACTAACGTGTGTATTTTGTAATTAGAAAGAGGTACGAGGCATCAAAGTAAATAATTTAATGGTTTTAATTGATATTATGATGTAGAGATCATGTTTATATTGTTATTATGATATTCCTAGTATCATGTTTAGGGTAATTTTAATATTAAATATGATTGTTATGATG